CGCGCCGAGGCTGGGGGGGAGTCGTCGCCGCCGCCGCTCCCGCCGCCGCCGCCGCCGCCGAGGTGACTGAGGAGAGAGGCGCCTCCTCGCTCCCGCCTCCGCCGGCCTTCAATGCCCAGTCCCCAGCTCGCCAGCGTGAGTGCGCCCCTCCCGGGCGGCCCCGCGCGGCGCCCGGGCCTCGGGCAGGGGAGGGCGGGAGGCGCCGCTGCCATTAGAGCAGGCCCGAGACACGTCCCCGGAAGGAGGGCCGGGCCGGGCCAGGGGCGGGGAGCGCGGCTCGAGGTGGGGGAGCGAGCGAGCGAGCGAGCGTGAAAGAATGCGGGAGAAGGTGCGTGTGCGGGCAGCATGTGTCCTTGTGGGGGCGAAGGTGTGGCGAGAGCGAGTGGGGGCGAGGAGGAGCGTGGCGGGCGAGGAGGTGTGCAGGGGTGCGCCGCGTTTGTCCGGCGCGTGAGCGCAGGCATCCTGGAGGCCCCTTGGTCTTTGTGTTGATAGTGAACCTCCGTGTCCGGGGTCTAACTCGCTCGGAAGCGTGGGATCCGTGAGTTTCGGTCAAGTAAGAGGAAAGGGCTTGAGTCTCCCGTGACGCTGATCTCGGGCGCTTCTTTCCCCCTTTCGTAAAAAATTATGTAAATTTCTGGGTTTCCAGAGATGTCTTTGCCATCCTCCCAACCCCCATTTCCCAGAGCTAACTAACCAAGCTGGACTCTCCTGCCCGGGGTCCTGAGTTTTTGCCGGTAGTGTATTGGGAAACGTAAACTTTTTTTGGTAGGTAAATGCTTAGTGTTCAGGTCAAGGATCTTTAGTGAGGTAAACCGCAGTATCTTTTAGGCTGTGACTTCTCTTACCCTTCTGCAGGAAAGCGCCTAAGAAACAGTCATAGTGTAAATGTAGACGAAGAAGTGCCGTAGTTGGATTTCTGTCTATTTGTCACGAAATACAAAGTGACTAATCTAGTGTCATTGTAGGCATTCAGCAAATGCGTCGCTGTAGCTGGATTAGTATATGATATTGACTTGTTTCCGCGCTGTGTTACCGAGCAGTTTCAGACAGGAAGTGAGAGAAGTTAAGCTTTGCTAGTGTGCAAAAGGAAACTAAGGCTATGGAGGAACACATTATCAGGGCTTTGTTTTCTGATCCGGACATTTTTAGTGACAGATTGAATGATCCGACATGATCGTTAATGGACTTTTCTCTGGCAGGGGTTGAAGAAGGAATTATTTTGTTCCATTTGTTTTATTTTACTACTTTTAGAAATTCCAAATAGGGTTCTTCTTGTAGTTCAGTATGGTCTCAAACTCTTTGTAATACGGTTGTCTTTGAACTCTGATCCTCCTGCCTTGGTCTTTCAAGTGTTAAGATTATAGATGTGTAAGTAGGCTGAATTGGGGATTCGAGATGAATTGTTGATACGGGTTTTATACTTTAATGATGTAATCATAGAAGGTAATTGGAAATAAGTAAGCAAAGCCGAGGCCGGTGCCACAACTCTGTAATCTCCGCTACTTGGGAGTTAGAGGCCAGAGGATGGAAGATTCAAGGACAGCTTGTGAAACTTGGAGAGCTTATCTCAAAATAGTAAAAGGGAGTCTGGGGAAATAGCTCAGTGGTAGAGAGAGCACTTGCCGGGATAGAGAAGCCCTAGGTTTAATCCCCTGTTACTACTACCAAAAAAATGTTGGGAATAAGGGAAGTAAAAATAAGTGGTTCATATTGATAGTGGGTGTAGAATTACAGACAAAAATTAATATGTTACTGAAGTTAGAAATTTTACGTCTATGTAACATTTGATAAAATACTTGTTAAAAGTGAAAAGTTTTTTTTTTTGTTGTTGTTGTTTTTTTAAATATAGAGTCTGATTTTGTAGCTGGACCTGGCACTTACTCAGCAGCTCAAGCTGGCCTGGCATTTGTGGTAGTACTCTTGGTGCAGCTTCCCAAGTGCTGGGATGGCAGGCATGACATCAAGCTTAGATAGCAATTAAAGGTTTGCTTAGAGTCCCTTTTCTCATACAGTGCTTGAGAAGTAGTATTGTCATTCACTGGAAGATGGGAGGAATTAGTGATAAGTGCCACTGTGCTACAGGTGTTTTTTAATACTCATTTAATTCTCACAGCCACAATAAGGTGGAGGATATCCTCATTGGCATTTGTTTTGCCTATATTTGAGATGCTTCTATTTGTCAGGCACTAGGGATTTGGTGATGTGACTCTAAACTTCACAGTGATGAGATGAAGAGATATATGAGGAGCAGTTACTTTGTTCAGTAACTTGTCCCAGGTCACACAAATAATAAGAACTGGATTAAAAATTAAGGTAGTCTAAAGCCCCTGATTTTTCAAGGACACCAAACCATTCTCTTAGTAGTGAGTCTGACTTGGAAATTTCTCCTTCTTACAGTGGTCTAGCAGCTTGCGCACACTGAGAGCTGTGGAAGCTAATGGAGAGGGCTGAGTGTGTTTGAGGCAGGAGGATGGGTGTAGGAGATGCTGACTTGGGACTTCAGGGGGCCTAAGCTGGCTTTTATGTGGGAGGAGATTCTGCCTTGAAACTGTCTTGGGGCCCCAGGGTGTGTGCTTTGAGACAGTTTTTATGAGGCACCTGGGATATGTCTGGGAGGAAAGTCTGATTAAAGAAATGTAGCAGACTTTATGTTTGGTGGTTTTGTGTGTGTTGTGGGGGCATTTATTGGAGCTGAGGAGTCAACTGAAGTTGCCACTTTGAAAGTTTTTCTCTTGGGATGTGCAGATAATTAAGTCAAGAGATTGCAAATCACATGTAAGAGAATACTCTTGAAAGTACTCTGTTAATTATAAGTTGAACTCCAGATGCAAAGTATTACTAAGACAACAGCTTGTTACATTTAGTATCTACAAAGGCTGGCTGGCATTTCAGAACACCTTTATTGATGAAAAATAGTTCAGAACTGCTGAACTGGGTATTTTCTGACTCAGAACAGAAGTCAGACCACTCCCTCCATGAGTCAGTCAAGTAATATTTAATTTGATTGAACCAAGTTTATAGACAGAAACCATTTACACCATTTACAACACCACTGAACTTTGGTGGCATTAGGTAAGGAAGCATAAATGAATGCTTCTGCATTTTTTTTGGCTTTGTGTTGCTTTTTTGGAGGGGGGCTTGTTTTTTTCAAGACAGGGTTTTTCTGTGTAACAGCTCTGGCTGTCCTCGAACTCCTTTGTAGACCAGGCTGGCCTTGAACTCAGAGATCCACCTGCTTCTCCTGGGATTAAAGGGGTGTGCCATCATTGCCCAGCCTGCATGTTTTTTAAAGTCAAAGTTTCATATGTGTTATTTATATACTTGCTGAAAATTGTGAGCAGAGGAAATTGTATTTCTTTTTCTTGAGCTAGCACCCCTGTCCCCTTTGAATCTAGGGCTTCCTGTCAATCTACTACACAGCTGCACCCTCCACCCTCTGAGTGAACTTTGTCTGTCCTTCAAAGATAGTTGAGACAGGGTTTCTCTGTGTAGCTTTGCACCTTTCCTGAAACTTACTCTGTAGCCCAGGCTGGCCTCGAACTCACAGAGATTCGCCTGCCTCTGCCTCCCAAGTGCTGGGATTAAAGGCATGTGCCACCACCGCCCGGCTTTTTTTTTTTTTTTTTTTTTTAATAATTGCAGACTACAGTTTGGACACAAAGTTGAAATTCAGTAGGGATTTACATTACAGTTCAACATTTTATTGGAATTCATGGTTGGAGATCAGTAAAGCGTCTGGAGAAATCATTGATGAAGAAGGCTTCAAGAGAAAAACACATAGCTTTTAGACATTCACTTTGGAGATGGAAACTTCAGTTAGAGCAAAACCTAAGTTATCCATAGGTAGAAGTTGAGGATCATTAAGTAAGATTTTGAGTAGAAGTCAGGACTCAGTTTAATATGGTAGGGTGAGTTACTTTAGTAAGGAGGATAGTGGTAGAATGTACTTTGGGTGCGTGTAAAGTACAGCGTTAAACCTAAGTGCTCTTGGTTCTAGCATTTAGAGGCTTTTTTGTGTCTGATCACAAACTGTTGCCTTTATGTCCATCGAGGTGATGGTTCATCAGGTAAAGGTGCTTGTTGCCAATTGACAGCCTGAGTTTCATCCTTGGCGCTCACATGATAGAAGGAGAGATGAACTGCAAGTTGTTCTCTTCTATGCAAGTTGTTCACATATGTGCTGTGGCCCACACAAATGCACATATACACACATGGGCAAAACAAGTGTTAAAAAAAAACAAACCACTAAGTCATCACATTCTAAATTTATTGATCCTTATTGTGATATTCTTTCATTTTTACAAGTAAGAAAATTGGTTTATAGAGTTAATGTTGAATTCCAAGTTTTGGGATCTAACCTAAGACAACAGTAAGTACAAGGTGGTGAGTGAAAAATTATTTTCCTTTTGGAATTAAAGCACTTACATCCCTGATGAAGCAGTGGATGCTACTAATTATAATTACTTTGGCAAGTGGCCATTTGAGTTTAATCTGTTGGATACAGGAAGAATTCTTCCCCGTTTTCAACTTTAAAACTATACACAGCTGTGTCTAGTATCTTCATGAGCTACATGGTTATCCATGAACTACATTCTCTAATTCAGTTGACTTCCTGTGCTGTCTTTTGGGCCTTGATGCCTTCCTTATATGAAGGAATGTCTGGTGTAGAGCTGAAGTGGTTGGTGTACATAAATCTGCTCCTTGGAGTTGTAGAGGTCTGGGCCATTGTTAAAATAGTCACAGAAATTTAATTTTTAATACAGAAGGCTGAGGATGTAAGGTCAGAGGTTTACCTTGAGCTTTGAGGTCACCCTGGGCTATAATGAGACTATGTCTCAAAATAACTTTTTCTAACTCTAAATCTATCAGGTATTTAAAGATGAGGGCTGGGCAATGGTGGTGCGCGCCTTTAATCCGAGCACTCGGGAGACAGAGCCAGGAGGATCTGAGTTCGAGGCCAGCCTGGTCTACAGAGCCAGATCCATGACAGGCACCAAAACTACACAGAGAACCCTTGTCTCGAACCGCGCTCCCCCCCCCCCCCAAAAAAAAAGAGGCTTTACTGTGCTTTCTTTACTAGTTGAACCTGGTCTGAAAAAACACACTTTGAACATTAGAGCTGTCTCCTATAGAGA